GCAACTGACAAAGGATTAATCTCAAAAATTTACAAGCAGCTCATGCAGCTCAATAACAAAAGAACAAACAACCCAATCCAAAAATGGGCAGAAGACCTAAATAGATAGGAACAAACAGACATAAAGGATAGATAGGGAGGGAGGGAGATGCAAGAGGGAAGAGATATGGGAACATATGTATAACTGATTCACTTTGTTGTAAAGCAGAAACTAACACACCATTGTAAGGCAATTACACTCCAATAAAGATGTTTAAAAAAAAAAAAACCCAGACATATAGATCATTGGAACAGAATAGAGAGCCCAGAAATAAACCCATATACCTATGGTCAACCTTCAACAAAGGAGGCAAGAATATACAATGGGAAAAAGTCTCTTCAGCAAATGGTGTTGGAAAAATTCGACAGCTGCATGCAAACCAATGAAGTTAGAACACACCCACACACCATACACAAAAAAACTCAAAATGGTTTAAAGACATGAACATAAGACATGACACCATAAAACTCCTAGAAGAGAACATAGGCAAAACATACTGACATAAATCATACCAACATTTTCTTTGGTCAGTCTCCCAAGGCAATAAAAATAAAATCAAAAATAAGCAAATGAGACCTAATCAAACTTACAAGCTTTTGCACAGCAAAGGAAACCGTAAACAAAATGAAAAGACAACCTACAGAATGGGAGAAAATACTTGCAAACAATGCGACCAACAAGGGCTTAATTTCCAAAGTACACAACTCATACAACTCAATAAACAACAACAACAAAAACAACCCAATTGAAAAATGGACAGAAAACCTAAACAGACATTTGTGCAAAGAAGACATACAGGGCTTCCCTGGTGGCGCAGTGGTTGAGAGTCTGCCTGCCAATGCAGGGGACACGGGTTCGTGCCCCGGCCCGGGAAGATCTCACGTGCCGCGGAGCGGCTGGGCCTGTGAGCCATGGCCGCTGAGCCTGCGCGTCCGGAGCCTGTGCTCCACAATGGGAGAGGCCACAACAATGAGAGGCCCACGTACGGCAAAAAAAAAAAAAAAAAAAAAAAAAAAAAGACATACAGGTGGCCAATACGCACATGAAAAGATGCTCATCATCGCTAATTATTAGAGAAATGCAAATCAAAGCTATAATGAGGTACCACTTCACACCGGTCAGAATGGCCTTCATTTAAAAGTCTACAAGTAACAAATGCTGGAGGAGGTGTGGAGAAAAGGGAACCCTCCTACACTGTTGGTGGGAATGTAAATTGGTGCAGTCACTATGGAAAACAGTATGGAAGGTCCTTAAAAAACTAAAAATAGAGTTACCACATGATGCAGCAATCCCATTCCGGGGCATATATCCAGACAAAACTATAGTTCAAAAAGATACATGCACCCCTATGTTCACAGCAGCACTATTTACAATAGCCAAGACATGGAAACAATCTAAATGTCCATCGACAGATGAGTGGATAAAGAAGATGTGGTAGTTATATACAGTGGAATACTACTCAGCCATAAAAAAGAATGAAATAATGCCATTTGCAGCCACATAGATGGACCTAGAGGTTATTATGCTAAGTGAAGTAAGCCAAGAGAAAGACAAATACCGTATGATACCACTTATATGTGCAATCTAAAATATGACACAAACGAACATATCTACGAAACAGAAACAGACTTAGAGACATAGAGAACACACTGGTGGTTGCCAAGGAGGAGGGGCGGTGGGAGAGGGAAGAATTGGGAGTTTGGGATCAGCAGATGCAAACTATTTATATATAGGATAAACAACAAGGTCCTACTGTATAGCAGAGGAAACCATATTCAATATCCTGTAATAAACCATAATGGAAAAGAATATGAAAAAGAATACATATGTATAACTGAATCACTTTGTTGTACACAAGAAATTAACACAATGTTGTAAATCAACTATACAATAATTTTTTTTTTAAATGCATTGTTTGTTTTTTATTTTCTTGTCATCTAGCATGACTGTAGGATTTTAACTGGGATTTGAATAAATCTTAAGTGGAACATAATTTTCTCTAATCAAACTCTGGGCTTCAAGAAACATTTCAGTGTTTAAAAAAGATTTTCCCAGCACCTAACTGTGCCACCTTCTTGAGAATAAGACTCTGTCAACCTCATGTTATACAATAATGAAGCTAGCTCATAAGTTTTCCTGTGCAGATAGTAGGAAATAACTGGGGAAAGGACTTTTGTCAGGGCCTCTTTTTAAAGCATGCTTAATCCACCCTAATTTGAGGGGGGAAAAAAAAAAATCAACATCTGGATTACTGCCTCTTCCTCTACAATTTTACTTCAGATCTTCATTTTCGTTTTTGTTTTTAGAGCTTCTTAACCTGTTTTTTTTAATATAAATTTATTTATTTATTATTTATTTATTTATGGCTGTGTTGGGTCTTCATTGCTGCGCACAGGCTTTCTCTAGTTGCGGCGAGCGGGGCTACTCTTCATTGAGGTGTGCGGGCTTCTCACTGCGGTGGCTTCTCTTGCTGCAGAGCGTGGGCTCTAGGCCCGCGGGCTCAGTAGTTGTGGCACGTGGGCTTAGTTGCTCTGTGGCATGTGGGATCTTCCTGGACCAGGGATCGAACCCACGTCGCCTGCGTTGGCAGGAAGATTCTTAACCACTGCGGTACCAGGAAAGTCCTCTTAATCTGTTTTTATCTAGTACCTCCAAACCTGGCAATTCACCCCCCCACACACACTATGAAATACTTTTCTCCATAAACAAGCATTTGGTCTTATAACCCTCAACGCTTCGCTTTTAGATAATGAACATTCCCTGTGGCTCATTCAGAAGAAGTTCAAAATTAAATTTCAGCACAGAGAGAGCCAGAATAAGGGAGATGCTACTGTTCAAAGCTCCTGCCTAAAGGGTCCTAAACTCTTAGTGGAAAAAATTAAATGTACCTCCTAGTTTTCATTCTCTCATGCACACCTTATAAAGCCAGAACAATGTAAACTTTTCAAAGTCATACAGAAGAACTGCCACCTTTGCTGGCACCAACCTATGTTAGATTTTTGTGGCCTTATACACACAAGTCCTGTGGCATTCTGTGATGAACCAGATACATGTCACCTGACATCAGCAGGTACAGTCAGCTGACGTTCGGCATAGCAATTTGTCCAAGGAAATAACACAACCTTTCCAGTGGCTTAATTAAGCCTTCTAAGGTATGTTGGTTTGGGGGAAGTTTCAATGTATCTGTGTAATTTTAAACATAACTTGTAAAGTTTATCCCCTGAATATGTGCTGTGTTTTCCTTTTTTTTTTTTTTTTTTTCCTTTGGGGACTGGGGGACTAGACAGCTACATGTAACAGAATGAAACCAGACCATTTCCTCACACCATATACAAAAATAAACTCAAAATGGATTAAAGATTTAAACTTAAGATCTGAAACCATAAAACTCCAAGAAGAAAACACGCAGTACTCTTTGACGCTGCTCTTAGAAATATTTTTTTGCATCTGTATATTCAGACAAGGAAACCAAAACAGAAAACAAATGGGACTACAAACTGAAAGGCTTTTGCAAAGTGAAGGAAACCAACAAAACAAAAAGGCAATCTACTGAATAAGAGAAGATATTTGCAAAACAATATATCCAGTAAGGGGTTAATATCCCAAATAGAGAACTCATACAGATTAATATCAAAAAATAAACAATCCAATTAAAAATGGGTGGAGGGGGCTTCCCTGGTGACGCAGTGGTTGAGAGTCCGCCTGCCAATGCAGGGGACACGGGTTCGTGCCCCGGTCCGGGAAGATCCCACATGCCGCGGAGCGGATGGGCCCGTGAGCCATGGCCGCTGAGCCTGCGCGTCCGGAGCCTGTGCTCCGCAACGGGAGAGGCCACAACAGTGAGAGGCCCACGTACCACAAAAAAATAAATAAATAAAATAAAAATAAAAATGGGTGGAGGATCTAAACAGGCATTGTTCGGAAGGAAACATACAGATAGCCAACAGATAATCACATGAAAATTATGCTCAGCATCACTAATTGGGGAAATGCCCATCAAAACCACAATGAGATATCACTTCACCTGACAGAATGGCTATCATCAAAAAGAACATGTGTTGGTTTAAAAGGATGTGCTAATCACCTGCCCAGGTGACCCACGTCTTAAGTTGCTTCTGCCACAACCTACTCTGCTCAGACTAATTTCTCGATCCCATCCCACACATTAGTCATAAGTGCACCCCCGCTTCATCAACACATTCTTACTCACATATCTGAAACTTTCCTCTCTGGAATATTTCCCCAATTCCCACCCAGTTCTCCTAACATGCATGTGGCTATATTTTCTATAGGCTGAGTTTTGAATACGCCCCACAGCAGATGTATGCGAACATCCAAATTCCTGGCCAAATTTCATAAAAATGACTCAACATAATATGATTCTCCAACTAGACACATTTAAGGATAGCAACCATTTCATTTCTTTGCACTCTGAGCACCTGGCTGGTCAGAGCCTGGTTGGGCATTCCAATACTGCTCCCACATTTAAAACACCTGGGGATCACCATTGCAAGGTCAGCTGCTACTTACACGACTTTCTGGAGATGACAGGTGACATGGGTTATCTGCTCACAAAGAATCCTCACTGAGGATTGACTCAGAAAGCTTTCCCTCACATCCAGAAAGTTCAGGTTCTTGTTTGAACTGAACACAGAGCAGAGATCTGCCCAGAGGTGAAGAGAATGATGGTCGTGCTGTGACCTAGGAGAAAGGCATCGACAAGACCACCTATGAAAAGCACGTACAGGAAAAGCAACAAGAACGGGTAGGCTGCACAGCCAAGAAAAGCATCAGCAAAATAAACATGGACCTACTAAATGGGAGAAAATGTCTGCACACTGTATGTCTGATAGGGGTTAGTATCTCCAATCTATAAAGAACTCATACAACTCAACAACAGAAAAGAAAAACGATTGTAACACGTGGGCTGAGGACCTGAATAGACGTTTTTCCAAAGATGACATATGAATGGACAACAGGGACATGAAAAATGTTCAACATCACTAATCACCACGGAAACACAAATCAAAACCACAGTGAGATACCACCTCACGCCTGTAAGAATGACTATCATCGGAAAGACAAGTAACGGGCTTCCCTGGTGGCGCAGTGGTTAAGAATCCGCCTGCCAATGCAAGGGACATGGGTTCAAGCCCTGGTCCGGGAAGATCCCACGTGCCAGGGAGAAACTAAGCCTGTGCGCCACAACAAGAGAAGCCACCGCAATGAGAAGCCCGCGCACTGCAACGGAGAGTAGCCCCCACTCGCCACAACTAGAGAAAGCCCGTGCGCAGCAACAAAGACCCAATGCAGCCAAAAATAAATAAGTAAATTTATTTTATTTTTTTAAAAAGTGGTGAGCTGATCAAAAGGTACAAACACCCAGTTATAAGATAACTAAATCCTGGGATGTAATGTACAGCATGGTGGCTATGTATTAAAACAAATTTTTTGAAAGAACTGGCAGGGAGGGAAGTTATATGAAATGTCTGGAGTGTCCTGAGCCCATTTGCCACACGGAAACTATAATACTACAGTATTGTACTCCAGTATTATAGTATACTATGCTATAGTATTATAGTATATATAATATATAGTAGTATACTATAAAACTATGATACTAAAACAAAGTAAGGTTCCAAAGCTCCCATTCCTAATCTGAACATCGTGTTTCCCAACTTTAATGGTGAGTTGGCAGAAAGAAATTTCAGCCAGGCATCCCAGAGAATTCTGACCCTAAGCCACAGGGAGCAGTAGGGACTCTGTCCTCTTCCTAAAAGAGTGTGGGCTGAGACTGAAGATGGGAGAACTAGTAACATTAAAAAATATATATTTTTTTTAAATGGGTTCTTACCTCTCAACCTGAGCATCTGATTTCAACGTGGTATCATTCTCCAGGAATATCCTCTTTCCTACCTGCAGTGAGATTTTCTGCAAGTTTTGACAGTGTTTAAGGCAGAAAGAAGACTGCATCATTTCCAATGTACTTGTCAAGTGGATAGAGATCTCCGTGACGGGGGCCATTGCATCCTCCACAAGCTCCTCCTCCTGAGATTCATAAAGACAATACAAAACCTCCTTCGCGTCCACGGTTGAGAAGGGCTTCTTCCCATGGGGCACTGATCTGCATTTCAGTAACTGCTGCTTGACCTCCGTGGATACCAGACAGCCAAAAGTCGTCTCCAGCTCCACGGCCCTTTCTTTGTTGGAGAGGCCAAATACGAAGTAGCCCACCTGGGTCAGGTTGGGGTTCTTCAGTCTTCCTTCCTTGGACAGCAGCTTCTGCACATCCCCAATGTGGCACCTGTGGCCACCCACGTCCTCCTTCTCCGTCTCCAAGACATAGAACATGGCGGCAAGGAACTGCTGGACGCTGAGGTGGATGAAAGAGTAGCAGGCCCCACAGTCTTTGCTCTTCCGGAGAATATTCTTGTCCAGGAAAGGACAGAGGGCAGACTCCTTTACCCCAAGTCTCCTGAGGTCTTCTCCATCAAACACAGATGTCTGTGTCCATATGCCCTCAGCAGCCAAGAGGCACACAGACTTCAACGAAGCTTGGAGACAGTCACTGGGGCAGCTGTTGCGAGCTGCTGTGAACTGGCTGCAGAGAAATCGCAGGAACAGGGACGTGGTGGTCCGGCAGGTCGAGGCAGGGTCTTCCCCCCTCTCCATCTGCCGTTTCAGACACGTGCAGACAATCCAGCACACAGCAGGCGCTGAGCCCATGTGGAACAGAGCTGCGTTCTCCTTCATCAACTCGAAAGCTCGCAGGGCTTGCGTCTCCTCTTCAAAGTGTTTCAGGAAATACGCCTTCCTGTCCAGCTCCAAGAACCCCTTGATTTCTATGAAGAGTGGCTGTTCAACCAAGAGCCGGAGCCCCCTCAGGGCCCCCGGTCGAGTGGTGATCACTAAAGTGGACCTGGGTAACATTTTTCTCTTCAGCAAACTCCCCAGGAGGACGGGCACTGGCTTCTGCTTCTTCCAGTCGCCGCATATGTCATGGATGAGCGCCCCCGAGGGGACTCTCAGCTCATCAAAGCCATCAACGACGAACAGGATTTTCCGTGCTTGGGTGAGGATCCCTGGAATGGCATCCTGTAAATCCGGCCCATTCGCAGATATCAGCTCTGCAAAAGTGCACGTCCCCTTGTGGTTGAGGTCCTTGCAGCTGAGATAGAAGGCGGAACTGGATGTCTCTGCCTGGTCGTCCTGTGTCCAGTCCAGCATCAGCTGTTTGGCCACTGTGGTTTTCCCGACACCGGCAGGACCATGCAGCACCACCGTAAGTGGCATCGACTGTATGGACGTTTGGGGCTTCAAGTATGATATCAACTTTGGGCTTCTCTGGGTAATGTTGTGGAAGCCACCATCATCTCCTGGCCAAAGTGTATTCTTCCAGATAGAAACTTTCTCCATCGTGTTTCTCTCTCTCCTCTTCACCTATATTGACCTGTAATGGGAAAGAATTGAGGTACCACTGACTACACGTAGCTGGAAAAACTCATACTGTAAAGGACCAGCGTCAGGGAGGAAGTAATGTTCCTCTACGCTTCTGGGTTCTTCTGGCTGGTCTAAGAATTAAAATGACATGAGATGGATTAACAAGAGAAAAAAACAAAATTTTAATAACATATACATGACCCAGGAGCACTGAGTTACTCACCAAAATGGCTGAAACGCTCACCTTAAATACCATCTCAGCTAAACAAAAGAAGGAAGATGTTGAAGGTAATGGTTTGGGATTTCAAAGGGGAGGAAGGAAATACACTTGGAAATGGAAAAGCAAATATTCGGTAGACAAAGGTTTGCTGGGCCAGCAGGAACTATGGGACCCAGAGTGCACTCTGGTCTCCAGATCCCGCTGAGTTTCCCCACCACCCTTAGCCCACGTTCTTTGCAGACATCTCTGGTGACAGCTCTGTTCTGGGAATAGGGTCTCTATCTGAAGTCTTAAGGTGGTTAAGAGGAAGTCAAAGTTTCTTCCTGAGTAGTTTGGGCCTCGATCGTTTCAGCTTGAAATAATCTGCAGGCCAAAGAGACATTTTGGGGTGCTAAGTTTTGCTCCCCTACACCAGAAATGAGGAAGCAAGAAGAGGAAAATTACCACGCACACGACCGAACACCAAAGCTATGACTATAAGACAGTAGTTCCCTGGCGGTCCAGTGGCTAAGACTCCAACGCAGGGGTTGTGGGTTCGATCCCTGATAGGGGAACTCAGATCCTGCACGCTACATGGCCAAAGAAAAAAGAAAAGCGGGGGGAGCAGTAGTTCTCCACCTGCGTTTTCTAACCCCCAAGTCTCCTTTTGCCTCTTCCAATGATACCTAGCAGGGCCCTGTGGGACTCCTGGGCACCAAGCCTTTCTGTGTCCCCCCATTTCTTGATTACAGGAAATAGCCTTCATTCAGCCTCCATGACCTTCCCTGGGTTCCAAGAAGCAGATTCAAGCAGTTGTTAATTAGGGGGAAGGAGGGGATGTGAGACCAGGGAGAAACAGTCAAGAGAAACATTTGCGCAGCCTTGGGGCAGGGTCCCGGTTCCCCATCAAGGGATACACACAACAACATCTCTGAGCTGTTTGGCAGATACTGAAACCCCTCCAGGTGGGAGAAGTTAACAGTTAATGATGATATGCTGCCCAAAAGCATGTACACCCCAACCCAGTTGTAACTTGAAGGTTGATGGCGCTGACTTCCACTTACCTCACTACCAACCAGTCAGAAGAAATGCCCATGAGCTGATCACAGCCTCTTTGAACCATTACTATAAAACTTCTCACTACCCTCTCCAAGGGGGCGGGGGGGGCACAGCTTTGAGGGCATGAGCCCGCTGTGGCCCCCTTGGCCTGGCAAAGCAATAAAGCTATTCTTTTCTACGTCACTCAAAACTCTGTCTCCGAGATTTAATTCGGTATCGGGGTAGAGGCCAGATCCGGCTGCACTAGCTTTGAGTTATCTATTCTTTGTACTGTGAACACTTCGTTAAACCCACGTGGATGAAAGCTCGACCCACAGGGCTATCTGTGCTTCCTAGATTAGACATTATTGTAGATAGAGAACTTTAAGTATTGAGTCTACTTTATTTTTATTATGGTAAAATACACAACATTTTTAACCACTTTAATGTGTACGATTCAGTGGCATTGAAAACATTTTCAGAGCTATGCAACCCCATCACCACTATTTAGTTCGAAGACTTTCATCGCCCCAAACAGATACCCCATATGCATCAAGCATTCATTCCCCATTTCCCCCTTCCCCAGTCCCTGGCCATCAATAACCTGCATTCTGTCTTGGTGGATTTATCTATTGGGCACATTTCACATATGTGGAATTATAAAATGTGGCCTTCTGTGTCTGGCTTCCTTCACTTAGCACAATATGTGAGTTTCATAGAGACTCTACTATTAAGTCTGTATTGCCTTCTTGGCTCATCCATCTTAAACTATGACGTCAAAAGTAAACCCCGGGCTTCCCTGGTGGCGCAGTGGTTGACAGTCCGCCTGCCGATGCAGGGGACACGGGTTCGTGCCCCGGTCCGGGAAGGTCCCACATGCCGCAGAGCGGCTGGGCCCGTGAGCCATGGCCGCTGAGCCTGCGCATCCGGAGCCTGTGCTCCGCAACGGGAGAGGCCACGACAGTGAGAGGCCCGCGTACCGCCAAAAAAAAAAAAAAGTAAACCCAAAGAATACACACGCTATTAGAAGTGACTGAATTGCTCAGGTCTATATGCTGGGGGGAAGAGTTACATACGTATACACCAAATACCTAAGAATAAGTCTAGGATCATGCATCCGATCTCTCCCTTGAGAGCCACAAGTTTGTTAAAAAAAAAAAAAAAAAAAATGTTGGGGTTAGGACTCCGTGTTTTCACTGCCAAGGGCCTGTGTTCAATCCCTGGTCAGGGAACTAAGATCCCACAAGCTGCGCCATGTGGCGCACCCAAAAAAAAAAAAGAAAGAAACAAAAGAAATCATCAGTAAATGGAGAAATAACATTCATGAGTTGGAAGGCTCTGCATTACAGTATCCATTCTTTCCAAATTGTTCTACAGCTTCCACTGTAGGGGAGCAAAACCTGGTGCCCCAAAACGTCTCTGGAGCATGTGCATTACCTCGAGCTGAAAACAATGGAGGCCCAAAAGACTCAGGAAGAAACTATGACTTTCCCCCTAACTTCCTAAAAAATTTTAGACAGAGGGTCTCTTCTTGGAATAGAGCTGCCACCAGAGGTATATGCAAAGAACACGAGCTAAGTGTGACAGGGGAAACTCAGCAGGGCCTGGAGATCAGAGGCCACTCTACGTTCCTGCCTGGCCCAGCAAACACTTGTTTACCAAACATTTGCTTTTCCGTCTTCAGGTGAATTGCCTTTCTCCCCTTTGAAGTCCCAAACCGCTACCCACAACATCCCCTTTTGCCTTGAGAAATGGAGTATTTCCTGCCATATCGGTAAACAAAGGATGCCCCAGTCATCAGCGATTACAGCCACCAGTGAGCTGGTGAGCCCCGAGGGAACTCAGGAAGGAAACAAAGGATACCCGCCATCTAGCAGCCATCAGACTGCAGCCAGTCCCCACGGTGAGCCCTGAGGGAACTCAGGATGAGAAAACGCGGGATACTGACCTCAGCCGAGGTGCCTGTCAAAGGAATGGTTTCAGTGAGCCCAGACTCTTGCATCTTCCCATACATAGAAAAGTGCTAAGTGCCTTAACTCGAGATACCTGGTTGTCTTTTATCAACGGTAACCTTTTGTTCCTACCACCTGCCCTTTATTGCAAAACTCCTGTATATCCTAGCTCCCCCCTCACCTCCTCACAGCAGTTCTCTCAGGGTTACTTGAGACCCTGACTCCCAGGCTTGAAGTCCTCAGCAAATCCCCCAAATATAACATAACTCTCAACTTTTAGGTGGTGAAAATATTTTTTTAGTCGACAGTCTTTAGCTGAAGATGGTACTTAAGGTAAGGGTTTGGGCCATTAATGGCCAGTTACGCAGTCTCCCTGACTCTCTCCCATTTATACATATGGTGCTAAACAACTGTCAGATTTTTTTCTTGTTTATCAGTCCCAGGTCAATTCTTAGGCCAGCCAGAAGAACCTAGAAGGGTGGAGGAACATTTCTTCCTCCCTGACATATTAAAACAAGATAAAACTCAATGGAAAGAAATCAAAAGATGTGGAAAAGGCACTTCAAAAAAGGAACAGCCAAATAGCCAATAAGCATATTGAAAGACCTTCAACCTTGTTAGACTTCAGAGAAATACAAATTAAGAACCTGATGAACAGAAAAAACGACACCCCCATCAGAATGGTTAAAATTAAAGACGGGCACAAGCACTTCACACAATGAAGGACAACTCTTACATGCTGGCACGAGTTAAACGGAGAAAACAGGGACTTCCCTGGTGGCCCAGTGGTTGAGAATCCGCCTGCCAATGCAGGGGGCACGGGTTCGAGCCCTTGTCCGGGAAGACCCCACGTGCCGTGGAGCAACTAAGCCCGCGCGCCACAACTACTGAGTCTGCGCTCTACAGCCCGCGAGCCACAACTACTGACCCTGCACTCTAGAGCCCAAGCTCTGCAACAAGAGAGAGAAGCCCGGGCACCACAACGAAGAGTGGACCCCGCTCGCCGCAACTAGAGAAAGCCCACGCGCAGCAACGAAGACCCAACGCAGCCAAAAATAAATAAGTAGGTAAATTTAAATTGAGAAAACACCACTGCCAAACTTGCGGGTGGTTTTCGCTACAGCTAACTAAGCACATGTGCTCTATGACACAGCAATTTTACCTCCAATTAGAAACCCCACGATAATCAGTGCTTAGGTCTGCAAAAGATGCACGCACATCTGTTCACAGAACCTTTATTCTTCATGTCCCCAAACTGTACTTGTAAAAGAAACCATACAACGAGAACTCTGAGTTGATTCAATGTATATGAAGTTTACAACAAGCAAAACTAACGTGTGGTGGTAGTAGTCAGAATAGAGGTTGCCTTTCCCAAACAGCTCAGAGAGAAGAGTAAACCTCCACTGGAAAAGTTGTCTATTGACCTGGTAAGTGATTACATGGGAGTGTGACTATATACATGAACATACACTGATGTAATCTCTCATCAAGTATGATTAGCTAATTAAGTATGATAGTAAATATGTACAACCAGAGATTTATACATATACAAATGCACACACGAAAAAATGTTTCAAAAACTCAAGAGGAAGTTAGCATAGCTTTTTAACTGAGAAATGACAGGATAAAAGACAAAATATGCCTACATAAGATGTTCACTTTATAAACATACCCCCTTTATCTGGATAATCTCCTCTACATTTTCTGTAATCCCTGTCTTTCTAAGGAGCCACTATGATAGTCAACATCTGAGTATTTACCATGTACAGGAACTATTATAAGCTCTT